CTATGCAGTTAAAGAGTGGCTGTAAAGCCTTAAAGTTTTTTATCTTAATGCATTAAGGTAAAAAACATTCTATGCTTGGGTCCCCACCCCCTCCCCCAGTCCCCATCATACTTACTTGAGCCCCTTCGCAATCCACTGCTGTGCATTAGAGCAGCAGCTCTCCCCGCTCTGTCCCTCCTCACAGGGCAGAGCTATAGCAGTGGGAGCCATTGGCTCCCACTGCTGTCAATCAAACTCTGTCACAGGGGAGCAGGGGGTGGGATTATACTCTGCTCTCGGTGTCTATGAACACAGGCAGCAGAGTTCAGGAGCAATCCCACATGAGTGCCCCCACAGTGGCAGGGGACCCCAGAAGAGGAGGATCAGGGCTGCTCTGTGCACAACCATTGCACAGAGCTGGTAAAGTAAAATAGAACATGTTTATTATTTTAATTAAAAAAAAAAAAAACCCTGAAGCTTTATTTAAAAACAGCAGTGTTTTGTATGATAAGAAGGGGTTACGTATCTTTCCTCCATGTCCAGCATTGGCAGTCCTTGCTCCTACGCAGAAAGGCCCTCACATAATGGTGTATGAGGCAGCACTGTTCTGTTCGGTAATGCTATAAGCCCAGGACAATATGAGGACAGACAACATGTCCATAATGGCTTGTATAGAGAGGGAGTGGGTTGAATGACGCTGGGTGTCATTTGACTTATAGGAGGAGTGCTATCCATTGGACGAGCAGACATTCTGTAGGGAACAGTGCTGGATTGAGGGTAAGTATTGCAGCTAAAGCTTATGTTTTCTTTACCAATGCTAACAATGCTAAGCAGCTTTAAAGCACAGCTATGGAATAAGCAAATATGTGTAGCTTTGTGTATTTTTTCCAGATCTGTGCAGTAATCCAGCGTGAAATGTTGCCTCTGTGCAGGAAGTTCCTGTAATAAAGACTGGTCACTGCTGCTCTCTATCCTTGTGCAAGGTGACTGGTCTTGTCTCAGCCCCCTCCTGTAGTTTTCTGCAGGCATCCTATTGGTTCCCTGTTACAGCCCTGCTCTCTACACAGGGTATGTGCAGTACAATGGAGATGCCTTCGTTATTTTTACAAGGTGATAACTAGGGGGAAGATTTACCAAAACTAGAGTTGTGTGTGCACAATCTGGTGCAGCTCTGCATAGAAACCAATCAGCTTCCAGGTTTTATTGTCAAATCTTAATTGAACAAGCTGAAGTTAGATGCTGACTGGCTGCTATGTACAGTTGCACCAGATTCTGAGTGCTCCAGTTTTAGTAAATGTACCCTTAGGTTTGCAAAGGCATAGGTGCAAACAAAGCAGATTTATGGCCTTCATGTATATTTCAATAAACGTTTTTGTGCCTGAATTCAGCTTGAGCAAAACTTTGCTACACGGCTGGTTTCACTGGCCGTCTGCTCTCCCCAGCGCCAGCATCTTCAGTGTGCCCACTGCGCATGTGCAAGTAATGCTGTGCTTTGTGAACGGCCCCATAGTCTTCTGGGACCTGTCACGTGTCCCAGAAGACTATGGGGGGCGCCATCGCAGCAGAAGTGGGTACCTGTTAAATTTGGGTACCCCCCTCCCCCCCACTCCTCAAAAGGTACCAAACCCTAATGGGACAAAGCCTTAAAGCGGAATTTCCCCTTTTGTGTGGAGCTCCGCTTTAATGCCCGGTAACGTACCCGTATGTCACTTGCCTTTGAGTGGTTATACCGGGATGATGCCCGCAGCTGCAGACATCTTCCTTGGAATGTTTTGGTTTTCTTTTTTTGTGGGTTTTTTTTTTTTTAACAAATCACTTTCTTGTAAAAACAATCCTAAATAAGACACTGAATTGCTTCCCCCCTCCCTCCACCTTCCCGGGCTCTCCCGTCACACCAAGGAACCTAGGAATGCAACTGGCAGTTCCACCGACTGACCATAGAGCTGATTGGGGACTGGAATGGCCCTGATCATCTCTATGATCTAAGAAAATGCAAGGGATGAGTATTTTGTCACTTCTGGTTTCACTGGTTGTAAACGAACCATTACTGGTTTGAAAAAAGTATCAGATCTCTTGGCATGATCAGATGCTTTTAAGGGCAGAAGAGACATCTGGAGTCTAATGCCCAAGATCTCTCAGTAAAGAGTACCTGTCACTACCTAATGCTACAAGGGGTAAAGTGAAAAAAAAAAAAAAAACCATTAAAAAGTACATCATAAAAATAAAAAAAATTAAACCACCCCCCCATCTCCCTGTGCAAAGGCGAAGGTACGCATCAGCCTTGCGTTGGTATGTAAACAGCAATTGCACCACACGTGAGGTATCACTGCAAATGTCAAATCGAGAGCACCAATTCTAGCACCAGACCTCCTGTGTAAATATAAACTGGTAACCTGTAAAGGCTTTTTAAAATGTCGCTAATGGATAATATCATTTACGTAGTTTGACGCCATTCTACAAGCAAATTTTAAAATCCATTAAGTCACTGGTCACACAGCTGCAATTTAAAAATCGCATGATTTGTGTGTGATTTCTGAAGACTCTTGAAGATTTTCAACGATTTCCATTATATGTATATGAAACCGTAATAAACTGCAGCAAAAGTAACGCAAGACTACTTTAGAAATCATGCTACAGCAAATCGCACATGCTAAGACACTGACATTCATTAGATGCAATTTCAGGTAGGGGTACACCAAAAGTTCAGTGGCCAAAACGTGTTGGCTGATATGAAAAAAAGAAAAAAAAAAAAAAAAGCACCGATACAGGTGCCGAAAATAACCCTGCCCCCTGGCCACCGCCTGCCTGCCGCTGCCACCCCCTCGCTGCTATCATCACCGGCTGCTGCTCGGTAGTTCTCAACCTTACCTGAGAAACCACCAAATGAGCCCAGCGCTGGGCATAGAGATAAGTGAAGCAAAGATGGCCTCCACTCATATCTATGCCCTTGGAGGACCAGAGTGATGTCACTTCCGGTTCCGGCGCTTGTAAACAAAGCCATTTTTTTTTTTTTTTTTTTTTTTTTATCTAAAGATCAATGCTTTTTTTTTTTTTTTATCTAATGCTTTACATTGTAGGAGGAGAGATGTGCAGTCTTATTTACCCCATATCTCTCCATAAAAAGGACCTGTCACTAAATATTTCTATCACAAGGGATGCATGCATTCCTTGTGATAGGAATAAAAGTGGTTAAAAAACTTTTTAAAAAGGGACAGTGTTAAAAAAAAAAAAAAAAAAAAAAAAAAAATTAAAATACACTTAAAAAATAAATTTTTTTTTTTAAAAGTGCCCCTGCCCCCCCCCCCCCCCCCATGCTTGCAAGTAGTGAACACATACGTAGGCCACGCCTACATATGTAAACAGTGTAACCACACACATGAGGTATCGCCACAAAACGTCAGAGCAATAATTCTAACACTGGACCTCCTCTGTAACTTTACACTGGTAACCTGTAGACATTTTTAAAAGTGTCACTCATGGAGATTTTTAAGTACCAGTTGACGCCAATCCACGAGCGTGCGCAATTTTAAAGCGTGACATGTTGGTTATCTATTTGCTCACCGTAACATCCTCTTTCATATTAAAAAAAAAAAAAAAAATGGGGGGTATAAATTGTGGTTTGTTTTTTTTAAATCATTAAAGTATATATTTTCCAAAAATATATATTAATTTTCAAAAACTGCCCATTTCTGTTTTTGGCTAAGTGCATCCTGAATTTTCGGTTTTGGTACCAGAATTTCCATTTCGGTGCACCACTAGTTTCATGTGTGATTTCAATTCGCAAATTGCAATGGTATGACTGGGCACTAAAGTATTTATTTATTTTTTATTTTTTTAAGCGTTTGAAAAGCAACTGTGCAAATACCGCGTGACATTCGAAATGACAACACCCGCTATTTTATTCTCTAGAGCCTCTGCTTAAAAAAAAAAAAAAAAAAACTGCAGTTTAGGAGCTTTTCTGCGTTTTTTTTTTTCAGCAGCCCCTGAACTCTCCCTAATATTTCCTATGTGTCCATGTACACAGTCGTTTACAAGCAGTCGAGTTTACAGTCGTTTGAACCAAACTTGCGTTCAGTAGATTTTACCGGTGTTTCAAATGCCAAATGCTTGTAAACGCGGTTAACTGCGTTTATAAGTGTTCGCGTTTATTAACTGTTCCATGTCCAGATACTGTCCAGAGCATTTTTTCATCATCGGAAATGCATGCAAAGCGTTTTCCATGTATTCAAATGGACCCGGTACACCAGCGCAGTCAGTTCCAGGTTTTGTGTGAAGGAAAAAAATGGGTAGAACGTGCCGCATTATGCTCATGATGGGATCCATAGTGAATACAACCAGAAAAGACAGGTCATCTCAACACATACTGCTCTCTCTGCTTCTGCTCTCTCTATTTCTCTCAAAATGTCTGAAATAGTTAATATTTTACTATTTTTCAGTGCATTCTGGGCATTTGGAAGGTCTCCTGAGGTTATCTTTTAAGAACACTTCTAAAGGCCAAACGCACATAAACGCAGCTAAACAGGTGTTTTTTAACCTACGGTTTCCAGCAGTCAGTTTCCATTGTTCAAAAGAGTTTTCCAAACGCCCCGTGTACATGAGCCCCAAGTTGTTTTCTAGCAAAAAATACTGTTTTTTTTTTTTTTTTGCATATAAACAAGAAGTGTCACGTGATCTTTGCCTGCATTTCCCCCGGGTACAGCAGTCCATACCCACAACACGCGTGCGCAGACACAGGTGAGGCCAGCCTTCCAGAGCCGTGTGTGATGTGTGGAGGTCAGTGGGCTTTGTGTAGAGGAGGCCCTGCACAGCACACACAGTACACAGAGGACTGGTGAGGGGTGCAGCGTCCCAGAGTCCTGTGCTTTGTGATGAAGACACAGCGAGTGACCGAGCACGCACACACACCCTATACACACCGGGCACACACAGCCCGCTCCTACCACACTCGTTCATTCATTCTCCTCCATGTGCTCTCCTCTCCACCGAGCACACAACGGGTTAACACAACACACTGCACTCACCCTGCCCGCCGGTGTAGTAGTAGAAAGCGCTCCCCATGAAAACTCCACCCCCTGTGCCTTCTGAGCATGCTCCGAATCCTCAATTTACCAGGAAGAGATCAGGGGTGATAGATGAGCGCCGAGCTCCTCTAACCCCATAGATGCCGCAGCATGAGAGGCACAGGGGGTAGTAGTGGCTGTGAGGGGCGGGATTATCTGGGGGTGGGGTGCTCGGCGCTGGACTTCACCGACTGAAAACTCATGGGGCCCCCGGGCAATAGGGGATCATGGGGCCCCTGTGTCCTTGCCAAAGCTCAAAAAAGCCTATGAAAAAGGTACCAGGTGCATCTCATGGGGCCCCTTACTGACCACGGGCCCTTGGGCAGTGCCCGAGTTTCCAAATGGTCAGTTTGCCTCTGCCGTATATACTTCACTTATGAACAGAGCCCAATGGCCACACAGATGAAGAACTAGAGGCAAACCGTTTATTGTAGGCTTACACCTAAGTGTTTTTCTGCTGCATTTTGCACAAACGCAGTACAGTCCATTTAACATGATTTCCTATGGGACATGTTCTCTACATTTTCACCCGGTGCATTTTTTGGAAAGGGTCAGAGACTTTTTTGAACGCAAAAAGTTGCGTTTTTGGTTCAATAGACTACAATGGAAACGCTGCAAAAAAGCATGCAGTGTGTTTTTGATGCGTTTTTGCCACGTATTTGATGTGTTTTAAATCTGCCTAGCAACAAGAAAAAAAACATCAAAAACAGGTGCAAAAACACAATACAGAAATGGATGAAACGCAAACAGCGTAGGTGTGAACCTAGCCTTAGGGCCAGTTCACAGTATAGAAATACAGTCCAGATGAGTTCCAGATGTGTTTTTGCCTGTGTGTTTTTTATGAGTTTTTAACACGTTCCAGTGCATTTTTATGCATTTTAGTTAAATTTTCCCCTCTTTTTCTTCAATTTAAATAGGGATATGTGCGTTCCAGTGTGTTTTTGGTGTGTTCCAGTGCACTTTTTATGTGTTTTACTGCGTTCAAGTACAGTTCTGTGCAGGAAAAATGCAGTCTGTTCTACTTTTTTTTTCTGCACCCGGATCGCACTGGAACTGCAAGCACTGGTGTGAACTATGACATTGACAACCATATTATTATTATACAGTATTTATATAGCGCTAAAAGGTTTGCTCACATGCTGTACAATTTAGTGCAGGACCTATATAACCTACTTTCTGCGCGTTTTGGATGCTGAAAAAAGCAACTGAAGCACATGTAGTATGAACTGGCCCTTAGGGCCAGTTCACAGTCTAGAAATACAGTCCAGATGCGTTCCAGATGTGTTTTTGCATGTACGTATTTGGTGTGTTCCAGTGCGTTTGTTATGCGTTTTTGCCATGTTCCAGTGCGTTTTTTATGCATTCCAATTACAGTATTTTCTGGTGTATAAGACTACTTTTTATACTTAAAAATATACCCCAAAAATTGGGGGTTGTCTTATACGCGGGGTATAAAATGTGAACCTTGAGTTTGTTTGGGTCAAGCTGACTGGATGTGTGGTGATACTGTACATACAGTATACCGCGCTGAGCCAAGCTGGCTCAAAACAAATGTCCCTATGACAGATTAATCTGTCAGCCCGCTGGATGTGCGGTATATACAGTATACTGCGCTGAGCCAAGCGGTTTCAAAACGCACCGGTACGTCCCTACTGTAATCAGCCCGCTGGATGCGTGTGTACGGTAGCTGAGGCTACATACAGTATACACTGGGCCAAATCATGGCGAGTGATGTATTATACTGATGAATACAAAGCCTGCTCGGATTGGCTGAGTCAGAGAGGTGGGCGGATGTCACAACCTCAGCCAATCCGAGGAGGCTTTGTATTCATTAGTAGAATACATCGCTCGCCATGATTGGCCCCACGTATACTGTATGTAGCCTCAGCTACTGTACATACACACATCCAGCGGTCTGATTACCGTAGGGACGTACCGGTACGTTTTGAAACAACTTGGCTCAGTATACTGTATATACCGCACATCCAGCGGGCTGACAGATTAATCTGTAATAGGGACATTTGTTTTGAGCCAGCTTGGCTCAGCGCAGTATATTGTATGTACATTACTGCACATCCAGCGGGCTGTATATATACTGTATACTGTATGTAGCCGAAGCTACCGTATTACCGCACATCCAGCGGTAACCATCTGATTTGGAATTTGATCCATATGATGACTGTCTTACAAATGTATCACAAGATGTCATTCATGAACTTATGATGTCAGAGGATGAACATGAGGATTTTGAGCACCGGTAAGTCATAACCATTTCAATTAAAAAATCTGATGTTTTTAAATGTTGTTGCCTCAGAAGGGGGGTAGTCTTATACGGCGAGTATAGCCCAAAACCTATGTTTTAACTGGAAAATTAGCGGGTCGACTTATACACCCAGTCGCCTTATACGCCCGAAAATACGGTAATTTTTCCCGAGTCATCTTCTAGGACAGCTCACTTGAGAGATAGGGCTCCTCCCAGGAAACACCCGCTCCACCTTTTTTTCCCTTTTTAGGCGTCCTCTCTCCCATTGGCCCCCAGTTTTAGTGTTTCCTCCGGCCAGGAAGGAGCTACGCCCGTTTTTTTATTTTTTTTTGTCTGGGCTCTCTGGCGGAGTACAGAGGGTCCCTGGCTGGCCCCCCCCTTCCTCCAAGCGAGGCAGGGGCCTTGTGAGGGGGGGGACCTTTCAGCCAGTTTCACTTTGGAATGCCCGTTGTAGGGTGGGGGCGTCGGCCCCAGATGGTCCCAGCGGGGCTCTCCAGGGGGGTAGAGCCCGCTCCGCTGACCGAGGCATTGGTGCCTTTCCCTGCGGGGTTTCAGGTAAGTCTTACCTGCTCCTAGGATCCCGGCAGCATGGCCAGGAGGCTCGGCTGCGGAAGGTCTGGACGCTGCGATCGCGTCACTTCCGGGCGCCGGGTGTCGTCACTTCCGGCGCAGGAGCAGGGAACGGCCGCCGCCATCTTGGAAATGGGCGGCGGACCGTGGAAGGAACCCGTGCCACGGCCGCTTCTCCACCGGCGGCCGTGAGAGGGGGGTCGGCGAGGGGGGATCGCAGGGGGGGGGGCGGAGCCCACCAGCCCCTGAAAAAAAACCGCCGCACCGAGGCAGAGTCTGCGGCAGCATGGAGGCAGATCTGTCAGGAGCGGGGGAGGCCTGCAGTAAGGTAAGGGCCTTTGTTTGGCAACTCTCTTTTGTTTTTTTCCCCCCCCCCCCCCTCCCCCCCCCCCCCTCCCGGGATGATTGGGTACCCCCCACACACACACAGCCCCCCCTCTCCCCCCCCCCAGGCCCACGGCTGGAGCTTTCACAGTGGCACAGGGGGGGAGGCGTTGCTGTTACAAACGCATGAACGCGTGTATCTCCTTGTCCCCAGATGGGCCCACAGGAGGAGGATAGAGGGGAGAAAGAAGCTCCTTGTGAGCAGAAAAAGAAGTGTGCCACTTGTAGGAAGAAGCTGGCAAGCTCCTGGAGGAAGCAGCTCTGCCAGGGGTGTATAGACAAGCTCATCAAGAAGGAGTCTGGATCTCTTTTTAAAGACTTCCTACAGAATATGACACAAGAGATGTCCAAGACATTTCAAAGCTTCAGGGAACAGAAGCCGGGACCGGCCCAGGATGAGCCCCAACCGGGCACTTCTGGCACCCAAGGGGGGAAAAAGAGGAAGCTGGACAAGGTAGCGCCGGTAAGGGACTGGGAAGAGGCCGAACAGTCGGACACCTCAGACTCGGAGGAGGGTGAGATTGAGGCTCAGGGCCCAAAGGCAGACAGGTTCCTTTTTCAGGTGGAAGACACGGAGGACCTGTTAAAGGTGATCTATGAGACCCTGGATCTGGAGGAGGAACAGCAGGACCTCTCTCTCCACGACCAACTGTACGCAGGGCTACAGGCAAAAAGCAGCCGTACATTCCCAGTACACCCTGCCCTATGGTCCACGATCAGGAGAGAATGGGAAGAGCCAGAGAAGAAGGCTTTCCTTCCCAAGAACCTCAAGAGATGTTTCCCCTTTAAGGAGGAAGATGCCTCGGTTTGGGAGACTTGCCCAAAGCCAGACGCCCCTCTCTCGAGGATCTCGAAGGACACGGACCTGTCCTTCGAAGACGGTGGGTCCCTAAAAGACCCGATGGATCGGAAAGCGGATGCCTTCCTGAAGAGGGCATGGGAAGCGTCCGCAGTGAATTTTAAACCTGCAGTGGCAACGACCTGTGTGTCCAGAACCCTGGATGTGTGGTTGGGGCAGCTCCGTTCGCATCTGGAACAAGGCACCCCGGGGGAAGAGATTCTGAAGTCCCTTCCGGTGCTGGAGAAAGCGGTAGCCTTCATCGCGGACGCATCAGCAGAGACCATCAGACTCTCTGCTAGATCTACAGCGCTCATAAACACGGCAAGGAGGGCTATCTGGCTGAAATCTTGGCAGGGGGATCTGGCCTCCAAGTCTAAACTCTGTGGCCTGCCGTTTGAAGGAAAACTCCTTTTCGGCCCGGAGCTGAATTCAGTCCTGGAAAGGTCGGCCGACAGGAAAAAGAGCTTCCCGGTCCCCAGCAGGCAGGTTGGACGGAAGGGGTTTCGCCCATCCAGGCGATACGCGTCGAGGGAAGCTAGGTTCCAAACCCAGCGCCCAGGCTGGGGCGCGAGAAGAGGCAGGAACGAGCCGAGAGGCAGGGGAGGTTTCCTTTTCAACCCCAGCCAGAATAGACCCAAAACCCAGCCGAAGTGACTGGAGAGGCCAGGTGGGAGCGAGGCTGGGGCGCTTCCACGCACAATGGCTAAGGATAACCCAGAACACCTACATTCTGGAGGCCATCCACAGGGGGTACAGAATAGAGTTCACAAGGGCCCCCCCTCAGAGATTCTTTGCAACACCCCTGCCAAAGGACAGGGCCATGGCGGATGCGCTGGTGGACCTCCTACAAGATATGCTCAGTCAGAACGTTATCTGCCAGTTGAGAGAAGAGGAAAGGGGAAGTGGATTCTTCTCCCATTTCTTTCTAAGGAAAAAAACCGTCA